CTGTTTTTCATTGCTACAAGGGCTGGACTGAGTATTGGATTTTAGTTCCAAGGTGCTGAGGTCTATTCTAAGAGTTAACATAGGTATCAATCACCTTTTTACACTTGCTCAATACTGAATTATTATTGAAATCATGCTGAAATAAAAAATGGACAGTAAGCTTATCTGTTATACTTAATTTTCTGAGATTTTCATGGATTCAAGCACTGATTGATTATGACTTGCTGTATGATAAACTTTTAATCCTCTAGCAAGTGTATTTTGATGAATCTTGCATGTTACAGTTGGTTTTGTGATAGAAATTTGGTCTGCAACATTTTTCAGTTCTTAACCCTTTGTCATAGAATGTGTTTTTGCTAAAACAAGGGTAATATTGGATCTATATGCTAAACTCATGTTGTACTTCAGTGATTAAAAGTTATGAACATAAGTACCACAGTGAATGAAGACTGAGTATGAAGCTATTGAATTAATCTCGAGAGGAAAATCCCTTTTTACCCCTCAAGACGTAAGTGCTGAAAATTGGTGTTATGAAATGGTAATCTGAAATACTGAGTTATCAGCTTCATTTCAATTGAAGAAAGGATTTGTATACACTTTGTTGAGCTAGTGTGTGAAGTGAAGTGTGTGAAAACTAGTGTCTACTTCTGATACAAGGGTGTGTGCAGAGTGTGAGATAGCTGAGTATGTAACAGCTTACTTACGACTAGTGGATGCTTGCATTGGCTAAGGCCAAGACCCAAGGTTTTCCCTAATTGAGAGGGTTTCCTTGTAAAACCTGTTGCTTTGCAGTCTATACTTGTTTTCTGCTATTTTCCAGCTTCAATTGAAAATGGTTTGACCAATTCACCCCCCCTCTTGGTCCAACAATTGGTATCAAAGCTTTGGTCTGCTGTGTAGGGTTCTAGCAAGCCTGTAGTTGATCTTTAAAATGGATGAAGGCCAAGCTACAAACAAAGCTCCAGGGTTCAGTGGTGTGAACTATGATTCATAAAAAATCAGAATGGAAGCATTCTTAATGTCTCATTCTTATGATGTCTGGCATGCCGCTGTGAATGGAATTATGGTTCTTAGTCCTGAAAATCCCTCTGAAGCTGATAAAATTGCTGTGGCTAATGATGGTAAAGCCAAACATGTCCTTTACTGTGCTCTAAAGCAACAAGAGTTCACTAGAGTCAAGAATTGCAAGTCAACTAAAGAAATGTGGGACTCTCTTCAGGCTGCCCATGAAGGAAGCTCTATCATCAAAGAAAACAAGTTCAGCTCTACAAAGTTCAATATGAAGCTTGTAAGATGGAGGAAAGGGAAACTGTAGCTGAGTATTTGTTTAGGATTAATGACATTGTCAACAATATGAAATCCCTTGGTGAAGACATTAAAGACTCAGATGTTTGCAAGAAAATTCTCAGGTCTCTTACTCCTAGATTCAATGCAAAGGTTACAATTCTTGAGGATAAAGACTTATCTCAAATGAAGATTGATGATCTACAAGCTTCTCTTACAGCCTATGAAATAAGAATTGGAACTATAACTATTCAAAGAAGAGAAGCTGCACTTAAAGTCAAAGAAGTTACTGAAGAATCTGATCCAAAGTCTGAGGAAGATGATCTTGAAGAAGATGAAGTGGCCTATCTGTCAAAGAAGTTCATGAAATTCAGATTTAAGAAGAGAAGTCAATCTCAAAATCTAACCTGTTATGGATGTGGCAAGCCTAGTCATTATGTCTCAAGTTGTCCAACTTCAAAAGGGAAAAATCAAAAAAAGAAAGAAGGGGTAAACCTTAAGGGAAGATTTGGAAGAAAGGCTCTCTTCTCAGATTGGGATTCTGTTTCTGAAGAAGACAAACCTGAGGAATCAAAAGAAGATGAGTGTTTGTTTATGGCTACTCTTGAAACACCACAGAAAGCAACTGAAGTTGAAGAAGACAGTGAAGACAGTGACTCAGAGATTGAAGAAATACTTGAAGAATGTGAGAGACTTGCTGTGAAGTGCAACCAATAAAAATCTCAGCTGAAAGCTCTTAGCTCTGAGTTGCAAAAATCCAAACAGCTTCTTGTTAAACATTTCAAACTTAAGCTGTCTACCTTATGTTCAATTTCTCTTATCTTCTTAAGTCTAAAGAAGTCTCAACCCAATACTGAATGGTCAACCAAGAGATGCAGAGAAGAACTCTCACTAATTCTTAACGAAAGGTCTTTGAAAATAGTTGAGATTTGGAAGCAATCCACAAAGCAAATTAGGAAGACTTGAATTGGTTACATCTGTGACACTGCAACTAAAGTAAAACAAAATCACACTGTGTTTGTTAAGGCATCTTCAGGAGAAGTGTATGCAAGATTTCCAATCATAAAATCCTCAAGAATAAAGCATGATTCGTTTGACAACTCCTACAGCAAGTCAAGGTTAAAAGAAAGTGATTTTATTACATTAACTTTCAGGAATTACAAAGTTACCAAAATGTATGTAAAGAAGTCAGATATAATTCCATTTCAGAAAGTTAAGGATAACAAATCTCTTGTGAAGTCTAAGATGATGTGGATACCAAAGAGAATGAATGTTGTGAGTATGTTGGTGTATACTGCTTTCAAAACTGGTAACTCAAATGACAAATGGTATGTTGACAGTGGCTGCTCGAGACACATGACAGGTGATGGTTCCAAGTTTGTTTCACTTAAGAACTTTGATGGAGGAAATGTCATCTTTGGAGACAATCAAAAGGCTAAGATTATTGGTATTGGCACTGTGAGTAAGTCTAATGAACTACCTGAGATCAAAGAGGTATTACTTGTTGAAGGCCTCAAACATAATCTCCTAAGTGTAAGCCAACTATGTGACAATGGGAAGAAAGTCTATTTTGATAAAGAAAGATGCAATGTGGTTGATACTGAATCTGAAAAAGTCATATTCTCAGCCTACAGATCCTCTGGAAATGTGTATACAGTCTCAAAAGAAGCTACTTACTGCAATTTGACCTCTCTAGATGAAGCTATACTGTGGTACAAGAGACTAGGTCATCTTCACTCTAAGAATCTAATCAAAATCCTGAAATTGAAAGCTGTGAAAGGTCTACCTGATTTAAAGTTCAGTGACAATCATCTATGCAAAACATGTCAGCAAGGCAAACAAACTAAAGTGTCATTCCCTTCCAAAGAAATCAACACATCCAGAGCTCTTGATCTGATACATATGGATCTCTGTGGTCCTACCAGAACTACAAGCATTGGAGGAAGTAAGTACTTTATACTGCTCATTGATGATTTCAGTAGAATGGTGTGGGTTTACTTTTTGAAAGAAAAGTCTGAGGCTATAACACACTTCATTAAGTTTGTAAATTTTATTGAAAATGAAAGAAGCTGTATTGTGAAGAAGCTTAGATCTGACTTTGGTTCTGAATTTACAATGAGGGAATTTGAAAGTTACTGTGATGTAAAAGGTATCAAGAAAGAATTCTCAGTTGTAGCTACTCCTCAACAAAATGGGGTTGTGGAAAAGAAGAATAGAACTATTCAGGAAATGGGAAGAACTATGTTACTTGAAAAAGGTCTTGCAAAAGGATTTTGGGCTGAAGCTGTTAATACAGCTGTGTATATCATCAACAGGGTACTTCTTAGACCATATTCATGTAAAACTCCTTTTGAACTATGGTATGGAAGACCTGCAACAGTTCATTATTTTAAAGTGTTTGGCAGCAAGTGTTTCATTCTCAATCATATAGAGAACTTAAGAAAATTTGATTCCAAGGCTGATGAAGGGATATTTTTGGGGTACTCTACAAAAAGCAAGGCTTATAGATGCTACAATCTAAGATCCTCCAAGGTTATTGAATCAATTCATGGTAAATTTGATGAGACTCCACAGCTCAGCATTAATGATGACATCAATTCTACACCAGGATCAACTGAAGCCAGTCCATCTCATTCTGTTCAAGGGTTAGATAAATCTATTAAATCTACTTCAGAACTTGATGATCATAGAGAAGTTACTTATCCAGGATTACAAAAATAGGTTCAAGCTGAAAACATTATTGGTTCTCCTCAAGCTGGTGTTCAGACAAGAAACAAGAAGAAACTCACTGAATTAGAAGCTGATGATGGAGAAGAATACAGTCATTTTGCAATGCTGTCCTCTATTGAACCAAAATCTTACTCTGAAGCATAAAAAAGTGAAGATTGGGTGGTTGCTATGAAAGAAGAACTTAAAAAAATTCATAAGAATAACACTTGGACACTGGTTCCTAGACCTGCAGCTAAGAATGTTATTGGTTCCAAATGGATTTACAGAAACAAACTTGATGAAAAATGATCAGTTTTCAGAAACAAGGCTAGATTGGTGTGTAAAGGATACTCTCAACAAGCTAGTATTGACTATGATGAAACCTTTCCCCCAGTTGCTAGGATGGAATCTATTAGAATGCTCTTGTCCTTTACTTGTCACAAGTAAGTCAGAGTGTATCAAATGGATATTAAGTCTGCCTTTTTGAATGGAGAGTTAAATGAAGAAGTATACCTGGAACAACCTGAAGGTTTTGAAGATCCCAAGTCTCCCTCCTATGTCTTCAAGCTAAACAAGTCCTTGTATGGTCTCAAACATTTCATAGAGGAAAAGTGGATAATACTGTTTATGTCAAGCTTTATCAAGATCAGTTCCTCATTCTTTAAGTCTATGTTGATGATATTATGTTTTGTGGCTCCAATACATCTTTAGCATCAGAGTTTGCAAACTTGATGAAAACCAGATTTGAAATGTCTCTTTTGGGAACTCTTAGATACTTTTTAGGTCTTCAAATTCATCAAACCTCCAAAGGAATCTTCATCTCTCAACAGAAATATGCCTCTGAGTTGCTTACAAAATTCAATATGACTGAGTGCAAATCTATTTCAACTCCCTAATGTCCTAATTCCAAACTGTCTCTTGAATGTACCACATAATCAGTTCCCTCTACTCTTTATAGGTCTATCATTGGCAGTTTATTGTATCTCACAGCTTTATGACCTGATATCATGTATTATGTGGGGTTGGTACCAAGATTTCAAAGCAATCCTAGACTCTCTCATCTTCAGGCTGCTAAAAGGATTCTGAGATATGTCAAGGGTACTATTTCCTATGGTCTACATTATATCTTCTCCTCAACATTATCTATCACAGCTTTTTCAGATGCTAATTGGGGTGGATCCTTACCTGACAAAAAAAGTACATCAGGTTGTTGTTATCTTCTTGGTTCCAACTTAGTTTCTTGGTTAAGTAAGAAACAGGATACTGTCTCTTTGTTTACTTCAGAAGCTGAATACATAGCTGCTTCTCAGGCTGGTTCTCAACTTCTCTGGATGCACACTACTCTTGCTGATCTTGGTCTTCATTTCTCAGGTCCTCCTAAACTCTATTATGATAATCAAAGTGCCATTGCCATAAGCAAGAATCCTACACTTCACTGGAAGAGCAAACATATTGACATCAAGTATCACTTTCTCAGAGACAAAGTTCAGAAATGCCTCATTGACATTACTTACTTACCAACTGAAAATCAACTGGCAGATATCATGACTAAACCTCTTTTCCCTCAACGGCTTTCAACCCTCAGAGCTCTTCGCAGGGTTGTTCCACCCCCTTTCTAAGCCTCTCATTGTTGGTCCTTTTCACCTTTTGTCCTTCAATGTCAAAAAGGGAGAGAATGGACTAAAATAAGGATAGTTTTTCAACTATCCCTTCTCTTACTTACTGCTATTGTTAATTTGCTAAGTATTACTTTGGCTGAGTCTACTATTATGAGGTCAAATTTCATGATTGAAGTTTTTGTCATTACAGGCAAAAGGGGGAGATTGTTGGTCCTAAGTTCCTTAGGCATTGTTTGCCCCTTTAATGTCAAAAATAAGAGTGGCAGTGGCTTTAAAGGGCTTCTTCAGTGTCAAAGTTGTTTGAAATAAGCCTCAAGGATAGTGTGGTCATTTTCTATTCAGTGACTTATACCTCATTACTGTTTTAATGTATTCATCACAGCTCATCTATCTGTTCTTGCTTAATTTGCTGAGAATTGTGTGGATTCAGTTCATGAAAACTGTCACAAATGATTCCAGGAGTAGCATTGTCATTTCTCAGGTGTATTCAACATATACACATATGTTTTGGATGCTGCATTACACTAGATTGACCTGAGTGAATCAGCACTGTCATTTATACAGTTTCAGGATTTTTCTTAGCTAAGAAGTTAAAAAATCTGTTGTAAGGGTATTTTAGTCATTTCTTATTATGCTCAGTAGTGTGACATATTTCAATGGTCCCAAATTAAGTGAATATACAAGAATATTGCATTTCTTGGTGGCTAAGTCTAGAGCTGAATGGAATTTGCAGCATTGTACTGTATGTGTGTACTTTAATGTGCATAAGGACAAATCTGCTGAGGTAGCCTTCTATGATTGGCTCTTGCTCTTGGAAATATCTGTATTGCACTGTGTCAATGATTGGCTTGAGGTGACAGGTGTAATCTGTGGGTGTATGAAGGTCTGTGCATTTTGAAAATCCATATATATATCTGCTGTTATAGCCTTTTTAGGGTTAAAGCCTTGTGAGAGAGGAGTGTTTTTGAGCTGCAGCCTGCATTAACTCAAGAGCCTTGAGTGAACAAGTTTGTCTGAAGCTTTTGATGATGATACAAGTCAGAAAAACTTACTGATTCGAGCTATGTGATAGTTATAGTAGAGAAGAGGTTGTTGCTGCTGTTTTCACTGCTGCAAGGGCTAGACTGAGTATTGGATTTAGTTCCAAGGTGCTGAGGTCTATTCAAAGAGTTGACATAGGTATCAAACACCTTTTTACACTTGCTCAGTACTGAATTATTGTTGAAATCATGCTGAAATCAAAAATGGACAGTGAGTTCATCTGTTATACTTAATTTTCTAAGATTTTCATGGATTCAAGCACTGATTGATTATGACTTGCTGTATGATAAGCTTTTAATCCTCTAGCAAGTGTATTTTGATGAATCTTGCATATTGAAGTTGGTTTTGTGATAGAAATTTGGTCTGCATCATTTTTCAGTTCTTAACCCTTTGTCATAGAATGTGTTTTTGTTGAAACAAGGGTAATATTGGATCTATATGCTAAACTCATGTTGTACTTCAGTGATTAAAAGTCATGAACATGAGTACCACAGTGAATGAAGACTGAGTATGAAGCTATTGAATTAATCTCGAGAGGAAGTTCCCTTTTTACCCCTCAAGACATAAGTGCTGAAAATTGGTGTTATAAAGTGGTAATCTGAAATACTGAGTTGTCAGCTTCATTTCAATTAAAGAAAGGATCTGTGATTGTGTTTTACATTTGTTATAATGTATTTGGTGAGCTTAGAGAGCTTGTTTGGTCATGGCAGGGTTGCCTAGGACAGGGGGAGTGTTTGTATACACTTTGTTGAGCTAGTGTGTGAAGTGATGTGTGTGAAAACTAGTGTCTACTTCTGATACAAGGGTGTGTGCAGAGTGTGAGACAGCTGAGTGTGTAACAGCTTACTTACAACTAGTGGATGCTTGCATTGGCTAAGGCCAAGACCCAAGATTTTCCCTAATTGAGAGGGTTTCCTTGTAAAACATGTTGTTTTGCAATCTGTACTTGTTTTATGCTATTTTTCAGCTTCAATTGAAAATGGTTTGACCAATTCACCCCCCCTCTTGGTCCAACACAACCATATAACATGGCTCAATGATTAAAAATACATTTTCCTATGCCACGTCATTACTTAGACAGTTCGTCCTTTAGTGTCTTAGTTAGCGACAAAAAAAAATAGTTTTTTTTGCCCTCAACTTACACTGCCTTTCTTCCTTTAGCCTTTTGGATACCCATGCTTTGTGCTTGCCTAGTCCTATTATCATCCTTCTTCTTTCCTTTGCCCTTCCACTTGGGCCTAGAAGAAGATGGTATAGACAAGTTAGATTGATAGGAACGCCCATACTCTTTTGATTATCCCTTCATTTGTTACCAATTCTATAAGAATATCAGCGAATGTGAACTCAAACTGATTCCTTATTTAGTTCCCTCTAAAAGAGTCGAACGAGTTTGGTAACAAGACAATAATCATGTCAACTTAAAACTTACCACCCAAGTCAGCCCTATTGACCTCCAGTTCAATTTTTTTAGATAATAAACAATCATTTTAAAAACACAATCTTTTACTGGAGTTCCTTAGGCTATCTTAATGGTATTCAAGTTTGACACAATACTAAGGCATACACTCTATCAAATCTCATCAAAACATCTTGTTGATATTTAACATGATGCTTGAAGAAAATAAAATAATGCAAATAATAGCTTTGAAACGTATTTGAGATAAATTCTAGAATGTAGCACCGAACCATATCATTGCCTTATTTCACTTATTAAAAGCATTAATGTTCTCTTGGGTATCTTAAAGTAAAAGAATTAGGCTTAGGAATAGTAAATACATTTGTACCCTTACATTGTGAATAAAATATCTAAGTTTCTTATCTAGTCAATATAAATGAGGTCCAAATACATGAATATGTTAGCAACCAGATTAACATGGATTAGACATAATATCTTAATATAAATGCATTCATACAATATTCAAGGTGAATTATTAATAATATCATGCATATTTAAAATTAAAATGAGTTTGTCAACCACATAGTATAATAAATCTCAATAGTATAGGAATTTATTATCACTATTGGTAAACAATTCCTTTTAATTAATGTGGGTCTCTTAACTTTGTAGCATAATAAATCACACAATCAATATGTCAATAACTTATCCTGATGGAGGAGTTCATTAGTACTATTGTTGAGATTCATCTGCTATTAAGCGAGCACTTCCATTAAAATATATGTGGGTCCCTTAACCACTGCATGAAAAATCGGATAACCAATACACCAATAACTTATTCGGTTGGTGAAGTTCATTATTACTATCGGCAGGCAAATCCCATCATTTCCATATCTCTTAAGACAATGCCTTGTCTATCTATATGAAATGATTCCCGATTATTTTTAGCCTTTCTAAAATCACCTAGTGTAGACCACTCCGTTGGGGAGCTAACACTATTGATTTTAGATTGAGTGTATAATGTTATTAATGCTCCAACAAAAAATAAAACATTAAATATCTTATCATTATAATCTAGACTCTTTAAATCATGCGTAGGGCCTTATTTTTAAAGATCTAATTACAATGAACATTTAATATTTTTATTTTCATGAGACAACCATTCTTGTAATTTTTTAGACTCTTCAAATCATGCATGGGGCCTTATTTTTGAAGATCTAATTACAATGGTTATAATAACGAAGGCCATGGGATAATGTATAAAAATCTCCGTTCCCACTCAATTTTTAATTATTTATATTTAGGGTTTTCTATTCATGATTTAATGTATACAAAACGCCTTGATTTTAATCCAATTAAATTTAGAAAATATTTGGACTTTTAAATGATTCACTAATATTTAATTTGAGGCACACTTTAAAAATAATTTTCAAATTTTTTTTTCATTTTCCAATAAGTGCCCTCTAATTAATTAGTAATTAAATCCAATTAATTTTCATAATTTAATTAATATAAATCAAGTCATTTAGATAAAAATTCATGAATCCAATGCATGAACAATAATAATTAGTAATTATTTATTCCATGCATCACATACATAAATAAATGATAGATAAAGCAAATTAAATGGCCAATGGATTTAGCTTTTAACATTTAATTGCTCTAAGTATTGTGCGAGAGTCAATCAAAGGCTTATGAACACCTACAGAGGTTTGTATCTCGACCCCATGCATAATCGGACACCATCAGACCCCCCTACGTGCCTCTGACGCGCCTGCACGAGCCAGGGAAGTTTTCCAGCGCGTGCCACGCGCTGGTGGAATGTTGTTGCACGTGTTACGCGCTCCCATGCGCATGCACGCGCGTGGGGAAGTTGCCAACGCATTCCACGGGCTGGCATGCGCCATATAACGCTGACCTGTCTCTGGCGCATGGCCCTCACGCACCAGTTCATTGGTGGCGCATGGAGCACCTTCCAGCCACGCTTCACCAGATCTTCTCCTTCGCTTGATGATGATCCAAGGGTTTTCGGTGTGGGTGCATGTGCACCGCGCCACACCGGATCATCCTCCCCAATTCCGGCACTGATCTTGCCTCCGGTCACCAGAAAACCGCCGAAATTGCAGAAAATAATTTAAAAAATTCCAAAAAATTAAATTAAGCCCAAAAAATTCCAGAAAATTTTTTAAAAATTCTAGAAAATTCCTGAAACCTAATTTAACCCTTTTGGACCTTCTTGAAGCTTCATAACATCCTTTGATGAATATTACATGGCTTTAAAAAATATTTACAATTTAAAATACAATAGAAAAATTAAATTACATCATTAAACTTTTAAACGGCTAAATCAAAGCTTTAATTACATTCATCCAAAGATAAAATTATATTCAATTAATTTATAAGCTTCATCTATGGCCCAATCATACATCATCATTTATTCACAATTATACATACATCATCATGTATCAATATATATCAACATATTAAATCATACATCAACATACATCAATAAATATATATATATGCATATATAATTTGGATCCATGAATGATGATTTTCATAA